TCACTTCTTACGCGCATAGGCGAATTGTTGCAACATCCTAACTGTTCGCCAACGAAAATAGACGCGGTTAGAATCTTTTTTCAAGTTAGTCCATACGGAATATTCGCAGCGTGAAAAAAAAAATATTGAAAAACAAATAATTCTATTAACTGTAAGACTCGTTAAACAGTATTAAATTTAACTTTTTTCTAGCAATATTTTGGTAACAAATACTTCAAAAATTTTAAGAATTTAAAGATTTTGTGGGACTAAGGTTGATATTTAGTTATAAGAAATTTTTTAAATCTCAAGAGAATACAAAATATTTCTAAAATGGTTATGAAAATTTGTGAGGCGATCGAGTCGATAGACGGAAAAATATTTATGATCTGGAAACAACTGTGAACCTTAGATAGTGAGACGATTTTGTATAACAACAAATTAAATTAAAAAATCCAATTATGTGAAACGCAATATATACTGATCCGATCTAAATTAAAAAAAAAAAAAATAATTTAAAAGTTGAATTACACTATTTTATTCAAAGTTTAAAAGTACTTTTACTCAGGACGGCGCCTAATTTTTATACATAACATACTACATTTGGATGCTGTAGCACGCTCGATTCTTCGTAAGCACAAGCATATTGTACATTTATGTATATCTCATATGTATTTATAATAGCATAGAATTGAAAATTTTATTTTGAACAAGTAATTTTTAAGCAATTATCGTTAATTTCTTCATAATCCGATTATCGGATTTAAACCAAATTAATATGGGACCACCTGTGAGGTAACACCTTCTCTTTAAAAAAAGAATTATAGAAATCGGTTAACGTGGCCTAAAGTTATGCGGTAAATTACATAAAAAAAAAATATTCCGACGAATTGATAACCTCCTTTTTGTAAAGTCGGTTAAAAAGAGACAAAACACCTGCATATCGTTTTGACGTTTCTGTTGTTAGTTTAGATATACCTTAGCTTTGAGTGTTTTCTTTTTGTTTGTGTAATGAAACTGAAGTGAATATACCTTATCAGATTTAAATTCTGATTGTTCTAATTGTGTAGGGTAAGGATAGCGAACTAGTGTAATAAAACGGAAAAACTGGGCAGCACGGATATTTACCGTTAATTTTCGTCGTCTACTTATTTCACCACGAAGAGGACGGCGACAAACCTTTACGACCGCTTTATTGTGGTTAAGTTTAAAATAACTGTTTTTTTTTGTTATTACCACCTGATAGAACTTGTTCTTTTTTGAACGTAAATAGCTAAAACTGTTAATAAATCGGCGCAGATAAAAATCATATCTGTATTTGTAATGTGTATGCATGTATGTGTATTTATAGAGTTTTGAGAGTGGAGATTCCAGAAACTTTACTTCTGAAATGGAAAAAATTCCAGCCTCGAATTAATTTGTTCCGGAAATAACAATGTGGTTTCTAGGTAAACCTCGCCCTGGTCGAAAAAACATGTTGTTGCTGTAACAGTATACACATTTCAAGATTTTTTGGGGTATGATCCTGGAGTGACAGTCCTTGGTCAGATTTGATTCTAGGACGTTCAACGATTGAAAATTAGATTGAGAATGGCTTATTTCAACAAGGGATATCGCTATTAGAAATGTGCGCGAGGAAAATTTTAAACATGGTTTAATAAAATTTTTTTTTAAATAAAAATTCTAGTATGCGATTACAAAATGCTACTGTTGGATTCAAATTTAGTTACATGCGTGACTGTGTGATTACGTGATTTGACCTTGATTCATGTTACTCACGCTCATGCATGGGTTTGTATTAAATTTTCTCAAACCTCATATCACTTGCGTATCCCTAATTTGGATTTCATAGGAATAAATGTTGTTGTAAAGAGTACAAACCCTTCTTCAAAAACTTGTGGAGAATCTGCTAAGTGGCAGTGTTTGACCAATAATAAAATTTCGTCATTTCGATAAGCCGGCTGTCATGGAAACGAAACTAAATCGAGCCATTTTATTGTGAAAACGATTTTTTGAGGACACACGAATATAACGTGCAAAAAAAGTTCTCAGCCGGAGCCCGCAAAAGGAAGCTATTATTGAAAAAAATGGAACATCATGAACTGCTCGAAGCTGACTAAACTATTTATTCTGTGTATAATCTACGGCCAATTAATGCGAATGAAACGGGCGAATGTAAACAAATGTCCAGAAGAATTGATAAACTAGAAAGGCATTGCCTTTAGTGATTGAGCAAAAATTGAGAGAGATTGGCTGGAAACTTTTGATGCCATTAGCTTATGCGCTATACTACCATCTTACGTTTATTTCAAAACAATTTTACTAAATATTGTTTGCTTAAAATTTTGATCTTAAATTTATGAAGTAAGCGAAATATATAAGTTATATCCTAGTTTTTAACTACTTCGTTCCATAAGATATGCGCATGTCTACGGAATGATGATATGTGATTTTTATGATTACATGCCCACAAATGCATGTGCATATATCAATGTGTTATGTTTTATTTTAGTTAAATTATCAAATTAGTTAGTATGTAATATGTAAAGGAAGAGAGCATAGTATAACAGACGTTCACAAACCACAACCCAGTTACATACTTATCTCTGTATGATATAAGAAGTACATACCGCGTATTAGATTAGCGTAGGCGCAAACATACATACTTATTTAGTATCGATTAAAAACCAACACCCAATTGTTTTTTATTAGTATACATAAACTTCCACAATATTAATACAAGTTTTACGTATTCATATATATCTTTCTCAATAATAGGTCTATAATCTCGTTTGTGCAACAAGAGCAAGTTTAAGAGGAGCAATAAAATGTGTATACATCCCAAGATTTTTTGTACAATAATTAATTAAATTTGCGACTAAATGTAAAAATTGTTCTCAAAAGTAATTAAATACATATATGTATGTGGCGTTTTAATATAAATTTGTACAATTAAGATTTAAATTTTTTATGTTGCTTTCAGTTTGTGCAATTTGCACTTTTGCTTTAGCTCATATTTATAATACACATACATACATATGTATGTAGTGTATGTAAGGAAGTATGTATGTACAAACGAAACTACTGAATACAATATGCATTACAGTACATTCATAGTAGCGAGTTAGCATTATTTGATACTCATTCATAAACTATTGAACAATGCAAATATGTATAAGTATGTATTTTTAACAATTTTTGCATATTAAATATTCATTATTTGTTATTTGTATTAAAAATTGACTCATTCCCACATTACTCAGGCAAAAGCACACATTGTGCTTCTCGAATTTGAGCTTATTTATTGTTTTGGTTGCTTTCATTGTCACTCAAGTGGTTAATTTGTGTATTATTATTTATATAATTTTATCGGCATATGCATATACTTTGAGCGAAAAGGAATTTGGGCACTATGTGCCGAAAAGCAAAAAACTATTGCAATTAGCCGCAAGCAGCTTTCAGCATTTTTAGTAAATTTTGTTCTTTTTTGCTTGCCAAAATTTTTGGTACATGCGGGGGACTAGAAGAATAATGACACACTAAACGCTAACGTTTGTTGTTGTATATTACTAGCATTTGTAGATTAAGTGTAATTTATTAGTAGCAGTAGTAGTAGTAGCAGTAATAGTAGTGGTAGTGGTAATGGTGGTAGTATTACGATAATTTTGTTGGTATTAGCTATATTACTCATAGGCATAGTACGTTTTTACATACATACTACAGCAACAACAACAAAAGCGGTTGCTTCGTTTGAGAAGAACAAGTAATGCAAAAAATAATTTCATGCTTTACCTCCAGTTTTACGCAGCGTTGTTGCTTTCTCGCGCAATCCGGCCGGCAAGCTGAACGGCGCCGAACCGAAAGGATCCTCGGGTATATGTGGTACAACGGTGTTTACGCCAACGCCAACGCCACCCCCACCAGCACCAACTGTAACCGCGCTAGCGACAGCGCCTGTTTGGCCAAATGTGGGCGGTTGTGCTTGCTGCTGTTGCGGCAGTGGCGGTGCCGGCATAGCCACGCCATAACCTTCAGTCGGTGTTAAAGTGGAAGTGGTAGATGCGGACTTTGCAGTAATGCCTTAAAAAAAAAAAACAAAAGAAATACAATTAAATAAATGCAAACGCTATTTTTCGAGTGCTTTCTCGCGCCATCATCATAGCATACTCACTTCCTTGACTGCCACGTTGTCGTATCTTATCAAATTCTGCTTCGAATATATGATCTTCGGTCATTTGTCCGAATGGTTGCTCTTCAAATGGATTCCATGCCTCAATACGTTGCTCCATTGAACTGCCAGTGCCACTGGCTCTGGCTTGATTTGTGGTGCCTGCGCCATCTACGGCGACATTGGCGCTTGGCACGGCTTGACTGCTACAGCTGGTGTCCATGTTGCAACGCAACACTTGAGCGCTTGTCAGTTCAGCATTCGATATGGATGCCGACATGACGGCGGCACCTTGTCCTTGCATATGCAGCGATTGTGTTGCTGGTAGAAAGAGTCCCGGATTTGAGCCACCATAATTCGTGCCGGAATTGGCCATTGCATTGACCAGCAGACTGTCGTCACCACCAGCGCCACCGCCGCCGCCACTGGCATCACTGGAATGGGGCGCACGACTTTTAACTGAATGATCATAGGGCGCCAAAAATTGTGAAGTCTCATTGGCGAAGGTTCTAAGTTTGGTTGAGGCGTGTATCCGAAAAATGGGTGCGAGCATTTTGTAGGGGTGAAGAGGGAGCACAGCAATAGATGAAGAATGATGTGTGTATGGAAATAAGAAAAATTAAATGACGTTAAAATTTAAACATAAAATATGCAAATAGGATAGTGGCGAAAGGAGTGGAACAGTTAGGTGCGCATAGCTCTTGGGAACACAGAGTGCACGTAACGGTAACGGAATTAAACAATGTAACGTTCGAATGTGTGCCGTAAAACTCTTGCTCAGCTGTTGTACGTAAAATATATCGTGCAAAAAAAACTGGGAATGAATTAACATATTAAAAAAAAGAAGAATTTTAAGTGATTTTTACTCTATTCTAAATTGACTTGATTTCTAAATTCCTTCTTTTGAAGGGTTGCACTCTAGGTTTTGAACGTAAAATTTCCTAACTCATATATATTCTTGGAAAACAAGTTTGGGATTCGAATTTGTATAGCTTTTTTGTGCTTTTGAATTGTCACAAATTAGTAAACAATCAAATCTGAATATTTTCGAACTCAAAACTCAATTTTCGAAATCCAAATTCCGGATATTAATTTATATTTTTTTGAAATACTACATGAAATCCGATAAATTTATAATTTATGATTAATAAGTTTCGAACACCAGACCATGTTTTGGAAATGTTTTTCAGAGTTTTTGAATTTTAAAACAATAATAAGCTAACTCTTATTTTAAGATTTCCCATAAATTTTTAATAATTTTTAAAACTAAAGTAGCATTCTTTTAATATAACCATTTTTTTTCGAAAATAAAGGTATTTAAAAAAAGCATTAGCGGGACGTATTGTAGTGCTGGAGCTATTCGTATATTCGGATATCCTTTCGCATATTTGTGTATGCAGATAAAATCCAGATATCCGGTTAATATCCGTTAGTTTTGCTATCCGGATATTTTAAATAACATATTCGAATATCCAGATTATCCAGATATTCAAAAAATCCGTTAATAATTCCCAGCCCTAGCGTATTGCTGTTTTCGTACCACTAAAAAGTATTGCAATTTTTTATTCAAAATTTCGATTTGTGAGAAAACAGGAATATTTATTTCTTTTGGGTTTAACGGGTACTATACTTTTTAAATTAACTAAAATCTCAAAATTTTAACTTAAACTTAAATAGATATTAAGCCGAAAAATTCGTCCAATCCCCATTCATGCCCCAAAGTTTAGAAGAACTCATCTCCTGACTACATGGGGCCAAAACTCTTCTCTCGTCCTCTTGAAACGACCGCACTCTCAAGGGATAGACGCAATGGTATCGCTTTAGCTGAGTCGCAAAGCGACCGACAACACTTGACCAGATACCTAAGAGATGGCATCTAAGTTTGCAGTGCAGTTATGCAGGTTAAATCGCGGCCTGTAAGCATTTGGTTTCCAAAGTCCTGTGGTGCTTTGCCAGTGTCGTTCTCTCATTCCTATTACATATCTCTTTCTTTAGCTCATCCCTGACCGCTTTTGGACCGAATGCAAGGAATGATCCAGGCCCTGAGTAGGTGAGGTCGCTGCATTGTTCCTCTCTCTATGTCCGTGTGGCCTGCTACGCAAAATAATTGAGTGTCAAGAGTCCTCGGAAGCCTTATGTATCTCAAAAAACTTAAGGAGTAGAGACGATTTAATCTCAAAGGATAAAATAACCTTAGGGAAAGGACTAAGTGGACCTGGCATCCAAGCTTTTCGATAATCCTAGATGATACGACTTTTTTACCAAAGGCATCTCCTGCAAAGTTTAAGAGAGTTCGCTTGACTGTGAGATGGTCCAACCATGTTACGATTGTTCCTCTAATGCATACACAGCAAGGATGCATTGTAACGTTAATTTTAGCGTTTACCAAAAAAAAAGCAATCATTTCTGTCGAAACGATTCAGTTGTTTATGGTTTAGGTAATTATCAAAATAATTCTATTTTGGTTTTTAACGAAAAGAAATTCAATCGTTAATGCTGAAGCTGTAGCATGCATTTAGGTGCTAGGTGTTAATAGTGAGCTGGCAATGGCATACAACAACAACTTTTCGTTGATTTATTTTGCTTCGATGTTAACGATTGATGATTGATTTCGTTTCAACGTTAACGATTGAGTTTTGTTTCGTTAATTCAGCTCTGAAACGAAACGAAAATATTTTACGAAAGGGGATAATGGCCGTCTTAGAAGGGTTGATGTTAAGACCCACCCACTCTAGCTCACCAGCCTTTCGTTAAGTTTATACCTCTTTACTGCTGATGCTATCTATCCCAGATGCTATGTAGCGCTCCCATGAGTCCAACGCCCATGCGATAGGCCACTGGGAGAATACCTTTTTGCCAGTTTCCAGACTGATGACTTTGTCTCTCGTTTAATGGGAGTGGCATTAACAAAATGAAGAGAAATCAAGCCCAGTACGCTCTTCTCTTCCGGTATGTACCATTAGGTGTCCCAACTGCTTGTTTCTATATGTCCGCTGGCGAAGGCTTTCTGAAGCCAAGCAGCTGCAGGTGTTGACGAGAAACTCTCACTTGTGAAGGCTCCCCCACGACATTAACTACCTCTTCACCTGTACACTTAAGCCCCCTCAGCTAATATCCCGCTTTCTTTGGTCTGACCTAGTCAAAACAGCATGTTTCCTGGGCCTACCGTTAGTTTAGCTTGATGGCAAGGATTGCTAGATTGGCCGATTCAAGCAGGGCTTAGTAGTGTGCCGCTAAAACAACAAAAAAACATCGAACCAGTCTCACCAGGGTTATGAAACGACTCCCGAGAATCGCTTGAACTCGAATTATAATATTATATAGGAAAAACATGTTTATATTTTTTTTTAAATTATTATTTATAGTCCCTTTCATAAATTAGATTGCGATAATTGGCATTATTGCATTCATTAAATACTAATTTAAAGTTTTTGAAAGGTCATATCTAGATTCCAAGTAAATGTGTGGTAGAAACTTTTTAAGGTTATGATATTTAAATAAAAATTAAAATGAAATTTTAGATAACAGGTTTAATTAAGTTCTCGTATGTATGCATGTTAAAGAAATTTCAGGACAAATGACAAATTTCGAAAACTAAATATAAAAACCTTTCTAACTAAGCTCTTTTGAAAAATATAAACTTTTAATTTAGAAAAAGTAACTCAGCAACAATAAATAATGACTCCACAAAATTCTCAGACAATTTAGAAATTCGTTGACTATTCACTCATGTGTTCTTTTTCATTGAAAATAGCTGACCTTAATTAGCGCACATAGCCAAAGTGAGGGCATCGCACATTTCAAACAAACAAAAAAAATTCCAAAAAAAAAAACATTGCATTAAGTCAGTAAAGTCACATAGTATGCACATACATTGGCAAGACATGTATGTATGTATGTATGTAAATTGCAAAAAACACAAAACGAGAAAGAGCAGAGGAAAAGAAAACGTACAGAAGAAACACACACAAATCGATACAAGCATAGAAACATTCAATTCAATAAAATAGAACGAAAAAATCTTACTTATTAAAAGCTGACGTATCGCTAACATTGCGTCGATGTCCAGAGCTACCACCACTCACGCTCACACTCGATCCCATGCCCGACGAAACGGTCAGCATACTACTCTTTGTGGGCGGCGTACTGCCGATTGCTTGATGTGCTGATAAACTACTCGCTGCTATATTATCCAAACCGTCTCCTATGCCAACGCCAACACCAACACCAACACCACTGCTGCAGGCCACCGTATCCAATGCAGTAGTATTCTTCAACGACACCGACGATGGTGCATTCTCACTAAATGGATCTGGATATACGGACGACTCGAAGAGGCTATTCAATACCTCGGGTGGCGGCTGTTGTGTCACAATTGTAGCGGCGGCAGCAGCAGCGCCAGAAGAAACAGTGCTGCTGCTAACTTGGCTCACAGTTTGCGATTGTGTTAGTGTTGTTGGTGCTGGTACTGATGGTGTTGCTGCAGCAGTGGGTGTTGCAGCTACCACGGCGGCAGGTGCAGGTGCAGGTGCGGGTGCGGTCGTAATGTTGGCAGCGCCGGAAGCAGACACTGCTGTTGCTGTTTGTGGTGTTGGAGGTGGCGGCACAACTGGTGGCGCCAATTGTGGAAAATTCGCTTGAAATTGTTCAACCACTGGTTGTTGTGGTTGTGGCGATGTTATATTATTACGCGGCGATGGACTTGGAGGCAAGCCAAGACCGAGCGGATTTGGACCATGCACCGCGGAGGAGCCTTTAGGACGTTGACGTGGCGCCACACTTGTGCCCGACTCCATAATGGGTACACTTTGCGGTTTAGAAGTTTTTGAGGCGGCTACGGCGGCAGAAATGCGTTTCGCTTCGGACTCGTACGGTGGTACGACGAGTTGGTCGTAGTTTGGTGGTGGAGATTTCTGGAATTTTAGAAAGTTGTTAGTTGATATTTTGAAAATATACATATGTGCGTAAGATGGTATGTACTATATTGTTTAAAAATAATACTTATTAAAGAGTGGCACCTCGTGGCGACAAAAATGTACACAAATAATCCACCCAGCTCTGAAAACAGTCTGCCGGAAAAGATAGCTTTAGGGAATGAGGTAGGTGTTTCCAAAAGGAAAATAACGGAATTATCAATTTTAAGAGATTTAAGCGCCTTCGGTATTCAGTGAAAAATGAACTTGACTACCTCTATCTTAATTTGAATCTGAAACCGCTGCAGCTTTCGAAAATCCACTCTCAATATTAATATAACCGATCAGAGAGGGATAGAAGAAATTAGAGAGAGATGTGGAAAAGTCGGAACAGTAATGCAACTTTACCGTTGGTGTGAGTTAGCTTCGGTCAAGCGTAAGGCCCTTGTCCAATTGAACGAAGCGCGAAGAGTGGAAAACTCACGTTCCCACGACAGTCGGGTCTACGTAACCGGAACGACCCAGAGTTATATCTGGCCAAGGACTATCACAAGAGCAACACTCATGAGATCCTACGCTGAAGATTTTGTTAGATATTGGAGTTTGTCAATGGAATTTTGCTAAAAACTAAACGGTTATCTCTCAGACCTAGTTTGCTTTTTCACTGCACGGAGCTTAGGTAAGCTTCGCCCATGCGAAATTTTCGGCAATCATTTTTACCACCTGGACAAAAGAGATCTGGGAATTCACGCCGATGAAGTACTGCTCTCTTTCTCGGCGGTCTCAAAAGAAATTCTCACCAAAGTAGAGAGCTGCAACAAAGGCTTCAAATCGTTCACCGGCAGCATCATGACCAAATACACAAAAACGCTTTAGAAATATATTTACAAGTCAATTGGCTCCGATGTCACAATACAGAACTCCAGACAGCTAAGGAATACGTTCATGTCGCTAACATATCATCTACCTATCGAGACCCAAATACTTCCCGTAAGAAAATATAATATAATAACGAGCAGTCAGCTCCTCGTTGGAACTACATACATTCCACATAAGGGCAATTAATGGCATTAAACCGAGTGACTATCACCACCTTCACAAACTCTTGCCAGTGAATGGCGTCATCGGGGTTCAACCACTAGCCAGTACAGAGAAAGAGCTTCAGGAGCCTCGCGGCGCCCGCATTATTTTGGCTCAACTACAGTCTGGTTATTGTAGTATGTTAAATTCCTTCCTATTTAGACTCGACCCCAACATATCCAATGTCCCACATTTGAAGGTTTTAATAATAAGACAAGGCCATTTCAAAACTTCTGAGTTCGTCCGACACTGCAAGTTAAGGAAACTCATATTTATAGATGCCATCGAACGGGCAGTTATTAAAACTGATGACGGGTCGTCGACCCAGAACAGCAAACGGTCCTCAGATGTGTTATTTAATGTCAACTTTCCAATAGGAGTCCCAGAGTCGCAGCCCACACTGACGGAAACCGAGGTCACTGAGGGGTTGGATAAGCAACATTTTAGCCTGCAGAAAATCTCGCTGCAATAGGGCCTAAATGAGGAGGACTGTAATCACAATTTCTTAGGACGCTCGCGGTTTTTATACCACTGATGAAAGTAGAAGGAGGTGCAGCTATGCGGACGAATTTTCAGTCATAGTCAGCGCCAAATGTCTGATGAACCTCAAGTATATGGCGAAACAGACGCTGTGAATGCCATCAACGACTGCGCTACAGAAGTGAGACTGAGCGTTAACGTGGAAGAGGGACGATGATTCGATGCACATTTTTCACGGACGGGGCAAAAAATGCGAAATATGCAAAAATATGCATTTATGACTAAAATATGCAAAATATGCAAAAACATTTTAATGGCATTTTTAAGATAATTTCATGATTCGCGTAGATACTTTATCTATTTCGCTTTAACTAAGTCCAAGAAAAACATGTATTTGCATAGATTTCCATGCCCTATTTATTATATATTTAAACATTCTTAAATAGGGCTGCCACTTGTTTAAAAAATTAAATTCAAGTTTATTAATTGTGTAAATGAAGTAATACAATGTGGATGGAAAAATAAAGGCGTTGAAGAAATATTTATTCGAAAATATTTTAAAGGAGGTTGCCACTTATTAAAAAGTCAAATAAAATTGTATTAATAAGTTAAATAAAGTGTTGCAATGTGGGTATCAAACGAAGTAGTTTTACTTAAAATCATAAATAAATTATGGTTGCCACCTTTTAAAAATTCAAATTAAATTTAATAAGTTTAATTAAATATGTATGTATAACAACATGGATGTCAATCGAATGAAATTTAAGAAGGCCTTGTTGCCACCTGGTTAAAAGTCAAATTCCATTTAATCACTAAGTTAAAGAAAATATAACAATTCGGATGCCAAATTAAAGAAATTTAAGAAAGCTTATTTAGATTATTTAAATTAAACAAAAACAAAAAACAAACAAAGCTTTACTTCAAACATATTTTTAAGAGGGCCGACGCATGTTTAAAGTCAAATTCAATTTTGTTAAAAAGAGAAACGAATCCGAGGCCGATTAAAGTTTAAGAAAATAACTTTTGGAAGGCAGGTTTGTCACCTTTTAAAAAAATAAATCAAAGTATTGCCAACTCCAATGCATCAATAAAAAAAAGGAAACAAAAGAGTGAAATTATTGACTTTTTAACGGATGGCTTCATAAAAGTGTTAATTCATTCTATATTAAAAAAAAAAAAAAGAATGTGTCGTTGTGTTTATGAAATACTTTAGAGAAAATAAATAAGGTTTTGCTGACCCATGAAAAAGGGGTGTGTATTTTTTTATGTTCAAAGCTAGCTAAGACTCGAAAAATCAAAGGATAAATAAAATAAAGCAAAAATCGATTGTTTCATGTTAAATTAAATATTTCATTTACTTTAATAAGAAATATGCATTTTTTAAAATACATTTATTACATTAATCGCGTTCACTACAATCGACGCACAATGTACACAAATAGAGAAAACAAAGCTAGACAGGGTAATATGATAAGCATACATATGTAAGTATATTAATCGGAATAAGTCAGCATTTTCGATATGAAAATTTTGTTGCAATTCGGGTCGTCCAAAAGAGCTCTGTTGAACTGCATCAAATTTTCCATATCGGAAAAATGCTGACTTATTCCCATTGGTAATTATCCGATTCATTTAAGTACTACCTTGTCCTCACCCAGGTCGCAGAGTGTATGAAGTTTCTGCGTGTTACATTAGGTGCAATTTATTTCAATAAAATTCAACATTTCAAAAATTTTCTCTTAAATAAAATTTCATCAAACTCCTTCGTTTGACACCAATATAGCAGAATAGCAGTTAAACTTTTACTAAATTTGGTGAACTCTTTTAAACAGGTGGCAACCCATTTGAAATTATTTTTAGAGTTAAGATTTTTTAAACCGCTTTCGACTGGTTTGGGCGAATTCAATTATTCAAACAAGTGACAAACTTCTTTAAAATATTTTGGTCAGTAATCTTTCTTAAAGCTATTTCGTTTGCAAAATGTCTTTTTTCTAATCCAGTTAATGAAATTTACTTTTTCAAACAGTTGGCAACCCTCTTAAAAAAATATGTTTGCAATGAACTCTCTTAACCCCTTTGCCATTTGACACCCGTATTGCGATATCTTATTAATCCTATTAATTTAATTTAACTTTTTAAACAGGTAGCAACTCTCTTTAAACATAGTAATGAACCTTCTCCACGCCGAAAGGAGATACAATGGGACTATGGCCCGAAATTAATGAATTAAACTCTAGTAATAAATCGATTTTAAATATTTAGTATCTGTATGAAATATATCAATATCCGCAAAGTTAGTTTGGCGTCCACTGGACCTAGTGTACCCACATTACAGGTTAATTAAAAAACCTCCATCTATGTAGGTATAACTTACGTGCAAATTTTGTACTGGATTCTCCTTGCCAGCCAATCGGAATGCCACCTCGCACACTTGCCAGATATTCGGTCGTTTATCCATATCGGGCTCAAGCATATATTTAATCAATTGATGCATGCCTTTAGAGTATTTGGAATTATCTGGTATGGAAAATTGACCATTTTGTATGGCCAACGTACTTTCGCCGAAGGGCAAATTGAAGAAGCACAATTTATAGAGCATACAACCCAGTGCCCAAATATCCGCCTTAGTCGTAATGCTTTTACCCGAATACAGATCGATCATTTCGGGCGCACGATACGATAGTGTTGTGTATTTTTGTATTTCCTCTTCGACGAGAGTGACGCCATGTTGCTGCGGATTTAGTATTTTTGCGGTGGCTGAGCCAAAATCGCAAAGTACAAAATTACCAGCATCATTTTGTAGTATATTCTCTACTTTCAAATCTCTATGGATGATGGGCGTCTGACAGTAGTGTAAACGTGACACTGCCTCTGAAATATCACAGAATATGGTGAGAACTTCCTGCTCATTGAAGCCAACTTGCAAACTGTTAAAGACAAATGTATTTAAAAAAAAAAAACAAACATAATTATTATATGATTATTACATTATATGGTTATATGTATGTATGTAGCAACAAATTTGATTATATATTTATTAGTTAGTACTTACCGTGCATTCATCATGGCCAGCATGTGCTGCTTGCAGTAGGGCATGAGCAATAGTACTTCGCAGACACCGTTGCCAGCGTGCGTAATGCTTGAGTCCACATAGCCTATAATATTCTTATGACCACTCAGATTGCTCTAGAGGAAGAAGAAGAAGGTTGAAAGAGAAACACAAACACACACACACACACAAATTAGCTGAGTGTTGAGAGAACTAAATGATGTGGTGTTGAGGAAAAAAAGTTTCACATAGCGTAAATTTCACATATTTTAATATTTATATGCAGCAAAAACAAAAGCAAAAAAACTAACTAATGAAATATTTAATAATTTAAGCGGCACGAAAGCACGAAATGCCAGCCATGACAATGGCCTGGCCTGCACTGGCACCGGCACCGGCACCGGCACCGGCACCGTTCCGGCACAGTCAATGGCTAGTACCTAGACAACAAAATTTTTGCAGCTGACGTGTATGCCAGCCAGCACCCATCGCACTTACAGCAATCTGAATTTCCCTTTTGGCCACGTTCAAGTCGTGCTCGTTATTCACATACATACGCTTGAGCGCATATTTTGTATTGCCTGTGTTGGCTTTAGCGAGGAAGACCATGGCAAAACCACCTGCAATGAAAGAGGGTAAGAAGAGTGGTTGAATATAAAAAGTTCAGACTGAAATGCAAAAAAAAAAAAAATATATGAATAAAACAAAACTGGCAATAAATGTGTGGTGCAGCGAACAGTTAAGAATTCATATGCAATTACATATCTACATATCTAAAACCCGTTCCTAGTTGAGTATCATATTTTGTTTAGGAAATTGATTAACGATCCACAAGTTAGGCAAACCTAATTAGTACTTAGCACATTCAACTTAATTAAATAGTTAAGAAAGTATCCAAAAGCAATTTAGCGCCCAAGTGGTTCGCAATTATCGCGTTTTGTCTCATTCAGGCGCGCAATTTACTAGGGTGACCGGCAACATTATTTTGAAAAAAAAGAGAACGCTATAAGAACTTATTTTAATTAGTATGGCGAATGCACAACCACCGACGAGGTACATATGTAGTTGGCCAGGAGGCTAGTTTTAATTGTTCTCTATATTCTACGCTTTCTGAGCAAACAAAGTACCCGAACTTGGCCTACGCGATAGCTGACTGGACGTATAAGTACGGTGACCATTCGTCCCGATTTTGGCGGGACAGTCCTGAGTTTAAGAAAATTGTTTCGCTGAATATTTATTAAAAGTCGGGACGTAAAAGTGTCCCAATTTTTTCATATTTGAACCGATTAAGTCCCGATTTTCACAGTTTTCTTTATTAATTAATTAATAAGAGTCTCCCTGTACTCTGGACTAAAAAAAACTTTTCGTACAAACGTGGCAGCACTGTCGTTATCACAAAGAACATAGAATATAAGGGAGCCTTAAACATAGCCAGCATCATTATTTTCTATGATCTTTGGTTATGTTTTATTCTGTCAAGCCGGTACTCTCGCTATATTGGAGTCTATCATTCCTCTCTAAATTACAAAAAAAGGAGGTTATCAATTCGTCAGAATACGAGACACACAGAAACAGAAATTATCTTTTTTGACGAGATTACTTTTCAATCACTGCCATTTCATAATCCCAAAGATAATGAAAATTACGTATGTAGCTAAAATGTCCTATATCTCCAGAGCTAAGTAAAGTATTAAAGTATTAAACGGTTTTAAAAAGTTTCTCTCGCGATGGGGTTGGGCGAGTTTCGCAAAATGTCAAGCATCAAATTCAATTGTTCGATAAAAGGGCAAAAAAAGTTCGAATACTAAATATCTTAACACTGGCTTTGCTTTGTGCGCGCGACATAGTAAGAAAAAAAGATAAATTGAAAATATTCATCAAATCGCACATCGGTTTGCTAAGCTTTCGTTTTCCATTGAGAAACGGTAACCAATTTAGCTAAGCACATTATTGGAAAAGTTCTCTATTTGAAAAGCAAAAGAAATTGGCTGTGCAATGGTTATCAAATCGACTTATCCAAAAAACTTGTCAATTATTCATTTTTTGATAAGTTGATAAGTTTTTTTATGATAAGTAAAAAGTGCAACACTTATCAACTTTACTTTTCAATAAAAAGCTTATCCAAAAGTTGTAAAGTGATAAGTGATAGGTCGTTGGTGCAATCGGGCCCTGATCATAATGAAGTGCAAATGTCTGGAAATGGAATATTTTGTTTTCAACAGGATTCTTTCTCGACAAGTAAAGCGAGAAATTCGAAAAGTTGGTAAAAAAGAACTTTTTTTCCCAGGTTTTATGTCAGCGGAAAAATGGCCCCAAGCTTCTTTATACTTAAACCCATCGCATTCGAGAGTTAGAAATAAAGCTACCCACATCGTAATTCAAAAAACCAAGTGCGACAGTTATTATTTTACACGCAGTACAATCACTTGTCTGTTTGGGCCGATACGAAAGAATTTCGCAAATTGGCAATCTGCGAAGTTATCCCGGTTATTTGGTCCTTCTATTGTATCCGTGGGCGCCCTCTCTTTCGTTGTTCGCCCATGGGTGCGGAGTCGAAAGATATCTTCCCGGAGTATCATTATCATTTTGTTTTCATACGTTAGGCTTTATCCATTTCATTATAAAGCTCATAAAGTTCGTAATTACACCTTTTTGGAGCCATTTCAATTTTTTTGGTAAAAGTAATTTCTCTTTTTTGTACAATTAAAAAACTGGAATGACGGTTTTACTGTACTAGATAGAGATGTCAAATTTCAAAAAACATCGATGCATCAACACATCAACTATTTATACATCGAGTAGAAAATTTTCGATGCATCGAAGCAAAATATCGATATTTTTCCGACATCCCTAACTAGAATTAATATGTTACATATCAGTAAAGTTGAGATCGAAACGTTAACTCAATATTATGGCATGCAAGGACCAGACTCAACCACAATTGCTGCTAATAATGGCATGCATACATTCTTAGATACATACATACACCCCTACATACATACATACTTATGCATACATCATTCAATTACAATTCAATTAAAAGAAACTATAGTTAGTCAATGCTGCGACAGATGATTGTCGTATCGCTTGGTCATATGCAATAAAACAAGCGTACTTAGGTATAACGGTATTACTCATCCCTCGGAAGAAATTAAGTGCATATGTATGTACATACATATATGAATGCACCCATTTTACGCGTAGTAGGTAGGTATGTCTGTAAATACGTATGCAACTTGGCACTATTGAGTTACTATTTACGTAGCAAAGTATTTACGTCTTTGTGTCAAAAGCAAAGTAATCGATAATTGTGGCATGTTGCGAGTAGCAAGTAAAACAGAAATGCCTTAAAAAAAAAACAAATACATATGTACCTACACACTCTCTCGGATGCACTTTGTGGCCTGTGGCATGGAGCTAAGACTTTCGAGGGGAGCCAAAGGCACACTTCAAGGGAAATGCGCTGAAAATACCTTTGAGAATTCAAGCGGATTTGCTGAATGGAGGTTGTAATGAAGCCAATTCAAAGCATTGAAGTATAAATATGCGCACTTCAGGAAGCTTACGAATGAATTGTCTAGTTCACATCTTAAAGTTAAACAGGTACGAGCATTTTTGCATAAATTTAAGCCGGCAAATCGCACGCTTGCTATTTGTATGAATTCTCATAACTTGTCAAATCGCGTTTGTGCAGACCAAAAAAAATTTGCAAGCAAGGATCCCCTCAAGGGAAGAATGGGAGGAGGATTAGGTCCTGATCTCGTATTCTGACAGCCATCTACACTGATGGCTCCAAGTTAGGTCGGAAGGTAGGAAGTGGGATATACTCCCAAGAACTCTCACTTAGCCTTAGTTTTCGTTTGCCAGATCTATGTAGTGTTTTCCAGGCTGAAATAACAGCAATAAATGAAGCTGCAAGTTAGCTGATCGATTCTCTAATTAATCTGAAGGCGGTAACAATCTTTTCTGACAGCCAAGCGGCTATTAAAGCACTTAATAGTGACAAATCTATGTCGAAGATTGTTATGGAATGTAGACGTACTCTTAATGAACTGGCAAGATGTTACGTCACTAATGTTGTATGGGTGCCAGGCCACAAAGACATACCGGGAAACTGTACTGCAGATGAACTAGCAAAGGAAGGAACCTGGTTGTCTGCAATCGGTACAGCCTGTAAATTGTAGTCCCGTTGATTTTTGAGAATTATTTTCGTAGAAGGTGATTTGTATTTTTTCCATACAAAGTATGTTCTTTTATGTGTAAGACACTGCAAGCAAAAAAAAAAAACAAACCCCAAAAATCGACGGGATTTTAACGGGATGAAAAAGTTTAAAGACATGTCAAGGCAAGTCAAGTTGAAAGTAATCTCTGATTGCCCCCATGTTTCGCGTGGATATCACTTAGATCGGAGATACTAAGCCTGATTTCAGCGTATGCAAATATTGATTAAGTACCTACCGACTCATATATAATATGCGAATATAGTGTCCCCTCCCCCCAATGGATGTTACAATATTTTATTTTCCCTGACTACAAATCCTAAATAAAGAACAGAGGTAAACCAGGGTCGGAAGCAATCAGCTTAGCGCGTCGAAATTTGTTTTTGTTTCAGTCCTGTTAGCATTTAAATGTGTAACGAGCATTGCGGGAATGTGGTTTTTTGCATACGAAAATAAAAACAAAAACAAAAGTAAATAATGACGCTAACCAGCACTAAACAAAAACAAACGTGAATTTATGCACAAGGGAGTATGTGTGCGTATGGGTGTGAGTGAATGAATGTGGGAAAGAGTATTGAGAACAGTGTTGCCAAACATGAGCTTTGCCTACCAAAACTGGTGGGCTTTTTCCGCTTGGTAGGTTGGTAGGCTAGATTGGATTTTGGTAGGTTCAGCGACAATAATAGCTATTTGCGAAAAATATAAAATATGTGTCTCCAAACGTTTTAGCAATCTTGTTTACACGAATTTTCACCGGTGTAGTGCACCATTGTACACCTGACGGCGACTTCTTTGTAAGACTTGAGGAATATCACCAAAACTAACCTATTAGTCATTTAATATGGTAGTAAGACCCGTTGTCACATATCGTCGTTTAAAGTACAAAACCTCGTATCGTCGTTCTGCAAAACCGCGTAACTGACATGTTTTACCAAAAATTGGATTTGCTCATACAAGCTCTTGGCTCAAGCGTTACCAATTCGTCCTGAAATGCGATTGCTTTATAAAAAAGATAACCATTTTGAAATATGAGTGTTTTTACTCTGTAGAAAATAATTTATGCAACTTGACATAACGCGGTTTTGCATTATCTTGATGCGCGGTTTTGTACTTTAAACGACGATATGCGGCACTGACCTGGTGACCAAAAGCTACGCAAGTAAAGGCGGGTTCCACCTTTTGCAATCTGCATCGACTGGTCCGGGTGGCCAGTACAGGAGCTATGGGTAACTGTCCAACGGATGCCCTTGGTGTCATTACAGGCATTCCTCCCTTGTCTATTCTGTTTGAAAAAGAGGCCTGCTGGAGCGCCCTACGACTGCCCAATATGATCAGCATGAAAATTGGGGATTTTCGGGCTCATTTGAAGGTTCTAAAGCCATTCCTGATAATCCCGAGCT